TATATATTATGGGGGATATGGCTTAGTAGTAGAGGACTTGCCTACCATGCATGAGGTCCAGGATTCAATACCCATTACTACCAAAAAAGATAAAAAAAAAAATTCCTTTCAAAATGTATTATCTTTCCCCATTATTACGGTTTATATCCAGCTGCGCCCCCTACAAACTTCATGAGCTCACAGGTGAGGCTTTGGGGAGGTGACTGGATCCTGGGCTTGAGATACTGGATTAGCCCACTGCTGAGTTTACAGCTGAGTGTGCCATGGAGGGTTAAAGCCTGGTGGGAAGCGGTGCGTCACTGTGGGCACGACCTAGAAAATATATACATATGTTTATCTATATCAAGGGAAGAGGAGGGATTGATCCTTTGATACCTTGATGCCGCCTACCTGCCATGCCATGAACTGTTTCTCTTCTGCCATGCCACCCTGTCTTGCAACTAGCTGATTATGGGCTGAAACCTCTACAAACTGTGAGCCAGAATAAATCTCTCACCTCCGTTAACTTGTGGGTGTCAGGTATTTTGTCCTAGCAATGGAAAAAGTAACTAAGACACTCATCCTACACAATTTTAAATATGTAATAAAAAAAGTGGAATAAAATAACCGATAATCTTTATCTCTAATACAACCACCATTATCATTTTGTTTTAAACATTTTTAATGTTTGTTTCCCTTCCTTTTCACTATCATTTTCTAGTACTCTTTTCTTCATTCATATGTGAGATTATTTAAAAACAAAAACACGTTGCTGGGCGCTGTGGCACATGCCCTTTATGTTGCCTACTTAGGAGGCAAAGGCAGTTAAAAGCCCACCCTGGACAACCCAGCAAGACCCTGTCTCAACATATACATGAAAGAGTTGGGGATGTAACTCCAAGTTATAGCACTTGCCTAGCATGTGTGAGGCCCTGAGTCCAACCCCTGTAGTTGGGGAAGAAGGAGGAACAGGGGAAGGGAGAGGAAGAGAGGAAATGTACCTGAAAAGTTTAATTCTATAAACACAGTATCCATAATTAAGGCCAAAGTCTAAACAGAAAAGAAACACATCTGTAATAGTAATTTTCTAGTCTGTTTTTTGTTATTTAACATTAATTCTTTTTTTTGTTTGCTTGTTTTTGGGTCTTTCTGAGAAAAGGTCTCACTATGTAGTTCGGGCTGGCCGCGAACTCGATGTGATCCTCTTGCCTGAGCCTCCCGAGTGCTGGGATTACAGGCATGCACATGCCCTGCAACAACATCAATTCCTAGGCAGATGAGCTTTTCTTAAGCATATATAATTTGCCCATTACAAACAGCATTTAAAATAAAAAGTTTAAGAAATATGTGGCTAGTCATGTCTGTGGGTCAAGCACAAATCTCAGCCAAACCATTCCTTAACATGCCTGCTTCTGTCATTTGCATTGCATACAGGTATCAGCAGCAACATCTTTCATTTCATTGCCTTCTCACTTGCCAATGATATCCTTGTAGAAAAAGAACCTTCTAAACTGGAACGTGCTATTTTTACCTCCCCTTCATTTACTACTCAACAATGGCATCCTACCCTATTATGGTGCGTGTCTAAATGGGCCCCCAAAGCCTCATGCAATCATCAGCATGCTTTTTTGGAGGTGGCTGAATCTAGAGTGTGTGATTGATTAATGGTTCAAAACGGGGATTAAGGGTGCTTGGATTAAGGCTTGGTGACTGTTGGATCACTCCACTGATTGAACTGACACCACCCTACTCCCAGCCGTGTGGATAAAAGGGGCAGAAATAGGCTTGTTTTGTTCTTGTTGCTTTTGCTATCTTCTGCCGCCATGAGCTCTTACCGATCTGTCACGTGCCACCCTGCCTTGGAGCTAGCCAATTACGGACTGAAACCTCTACAAAATTGTGAGCTAAATAAACCTTTCTTCCTTTAATTTTGGAAGTCACATATTTTGTATCAGAAACAAGAGAAAAGTAATCAAGACATACTCTAATGTAGCTTATCTCTACCAATCTATGAAAGCACAAATTTCTATGTTTTTATCCTAATATTTAAAAAATATGAATACCTGTCCAAGAAGTTAACTATGTTGGGATTCTTTAATTCTTTCATCACCATAATCTCATTAATGATCAATTCCTTCTTTGGTTGTTTCTGTAAATTGATCTGTTTGATAGCAACCTATAATGGAAACAGAATTCAAAAATCTGAACAGTTTTCCTAGAAAGTAAGAAACACTAATCAATTCATAATTAATCTAACTTTTGGTGCATACACTGTATTACACAACAGACTGCAACTTATTCACAAGGAGTGCTTCTACCTGCAACTGCTCACGTGCAATGCTTTGGAATGGATGGTGCTGACATACGTTCACATTTCTTTGTTGATTAACCCATCCAAGATCATTCTACCATCAGGAATTGACCCTCTTTTCTTTCTAAGCAGGGGACAATTTTTTTAAAGTATTTTTTACTTATGACATTGAACTCATAACTACTTCTTTGTCCCCTCCTACTCTTACAGTAGTGGGAACTGAACCCAGGGTCTTCACACTATTATATCTCCAGCCATTTTTAGTTTTTAGCTTTTTGAGACAGGGTCTTGTAAGATTCCATCTCAAAATTTAAAAGTAGCTAAATCGCCCAGGCTAGCCTTGAATTTCCATCTTCCTGCCTCAGCCTCTAGAGTCCTGGGATTACCAGCCTGTGCCACCATGCCCTTATCTTTGTTTCCCTTAATGTGAGAATTGCTACAAAATTATGTACCTTAATTCTTGCAACATATTCAACTTAAACAACAGATTTCTATTAATTACTTAGTTTCGCTCTATAAGAAATGCTAATGGTAATAACAACCAGAGTATAAAAGGGTAGGGAGCTGTAGTTACCTCCTGTCCCAGTGCCACATCAGTGGCAGTGAAAACTGTACCAGAAGCCCTGGGGAAAAAACGGGAGAAAAGACATAATCAGATTTAAAGATTCTAAACCACTATCATTTAACCCAAAGATATTATCATTATCATACAAAGACTTTACAATTTAAAACCAGGCATGGTGGGACATGCCAATAATCTTAGCAGGTGGGAAGCTGAGTCAGGAGGATCATAGTGAGTTTGAGGCTGGCCTGGTAACACAGTGAGTTCAAGGTTAATCTGGACTACACAGAGGGACCTTGTTTCAAAACAAAGACTTTACAATTTGAGCAACTGAAAAGGAATTAAAGACTTAGTATTTCTAAAAGAAATTAAAGCTAAAAGGAGAAAAAGAAGAAAAAACAAGCAATCCTTGTGCCCAAAGTATCAGTCCTATAAAAATGTAGGAAAAAAAAGTACAAAGAAAAATATAACATACATTCATAAATAACACTTCCCTCCTTAAAAAATAAACAACTACAAATAAACTTGAGGGCCCTCTGCATGCCCCTCCCACTCCATCCTCCTTCCCAAGGGTGGTCTGCATTTGGTGTGCATGCTACATTCAATGTGCACCACTTCCGTGCACTTCCCTACTTTCACCTACAAAAGCTAAGTATCTCAATATACTATATTTGGCTTAATTTTTAAAGCCTATGTGGTTTTGTTTTATGTATTTCTCTGCCATTTGCTTTTAAAAAAATATTCAACATTAAATTTGTAATGGTCATCTGTATACACAGGTATCATTCTTGCTCATTTATTATCATGTTAGTCAATATATTAACATCCATTATCATGCTCAAAAGTACTAAGGTGATTTTAAATCCACTGCTCCAAATGAATGTAACTATTAAAAATACTCAATATAATTTCTTTTTTTCAAGCTAAGATTTAAATACATGTTTTTATTGCCTATAATCCTGCAATAAATGTTTTCACTGTCTTTTAAATATATGCTATGGGCAATTTCTCCATCTAAGTAAATCCCTTAGCTCCTATGGGAAATGACATTTAAGAAGGAACACTGGTACACTGTTAACTAGTAAAGTTTTAAACAGCATCTAGAAACGAACTGCATTATGTATTTCTATAAACCTCCAGGGTACCAAGCATAGATTTACAGTGAGTGTGCAATGTCGGGGGAAAAAAGAGAGATCATGCTATCAGCTCAGGCAGTACTGAATATTACCAGTCATAAACACTTACCCTTGTCCAATTTTTTCGTATCTTGTATATTTCTTCTTAGGATCACCTATGCTCACAATAGTCCCTATTGTAAACAAAAACTGGAAGCTCAGTAAAGCATTTTAAATGTACAGTAATTCTGACATCATTATTCCTTTAGTAAACTCTACAAATCTTAACAGAGGTTTTCAAATACAAGTTTCAAACATAATTTGTTTCAAACACAAAACACTGAAGAAACATAATAAAAGTAAAAAGTCACCAGAAACATTATTTCCATTATATTAGATCTCCCAGTTAATCATGTTATCAATTAATCTCAAAAATGATGAAATTATAAAACAATCATGTGTTCAGTCTATGTGAGATTAAATGAAGTTCTCCGGATTCAGGATGTACTGCTCTAAACAGGCAAGTCCTGGCCAACTGATTGTTCTTTTCTACTCCAGTGAATGATTTCCACTAGCGCAAAGTTACGAAACTTAGGGCCAGAAATAATAAATTATATTCAAATGAACAGCCTCCAAATGGCTTTTCTGACTACTATAATGTATCTTCTTTTGGTATATTTAGGAAACCACTTAGTAGTATAGAGATTCTTTTCCACTGAGTTAAACCCTAGTTGCCCAGATTGAGCTAGAACTAGTGATCCTCCTACCTTAGCCTCCAAAAGTGCTGAGATTACATGTGTAAACCACCATGCCTGGCTACTCCACATTAAATGAATTAATCATGTATTTACTTTAGGAAAGTTCTAAAAAAACAGGTTTTAAAATTAGGAGCCTGGACCCAAAATCCTAGCTTTTTAATACCATCAAGTCAAAACACGAGAAATTTACACTAACTTTCATTTGGTTAAGGTAAAAGAAGACAGAGATATGTATGTCAAGGGACCACACATAAAAATCTTTAGTCATTTAAGCCCAAGTCAAGAAACTAATGGTGCCAGGAGTGGTTTAAAGACAGCCTGCACTGTATAATGAGACCCCTTCTCAAACCTCTGTCTTTCAATCTCCTAAAAAAAAGATTAAAAGGTAAAAAAAGGGCAAAAAGATATCAACAAAGATAAGAGATATGATAACGAAGTTACAACTGAATGGTGACAATTGTTCTAGTTTTTCTTTTTTTTTGCTATCAGGGATTGAACTCAGGACCTTGCATTCTCCAGGCGGGCACTTGTGCTACTGAGTTACATCCCTGGCCCTCTAGTTTATTTTAAAAAACTATTTGCTCTCCTAAGAGAAAGAATCTATCCATCCATCCAATTCCAGAGTGAAAGCAGGTTTATATTTGAAAGCACTGAAGTATCAAGAGCAAATAAATTTAGAGCATATAAATGTGTAAAACAATCCATCTATGAAGTATTTTGTCCCTGACCCCTTGACCTAAGGTTAGTGTTTAGTTTTTTGATTTATAACTTTTTGTTTTAAGATAGGGTCTTGCCTTGTAGTTCAGGCTGGCTTGGAAATGCAATCCTCCTGCTTCAGCCTCCCGAATGCTGGGATTACAGGTGTGCACAACCACACTCAGCCAGTCAGTATTCTTTAAAACCACAATTGCTACTGACATGTCATCAGACATGACTGCTATTCTCTCCTTGGCCCTGTTTATGTTACTCATAATGCTAGATCTAAGTCAATGACAAATGATGAGTTAAATGGGAGAAGGAAAAATAAATCCTTTTCTGTATCTATAGTTCATTTTGTTTAGTTATTTAGGGCTGTTTTTTTGTAGGTGCCCGTTAAGAAGATACAGGTATTACGCAAATATGCACAAGTCTTCCTTGATAAAAATTCCCAACCACGTCTTTTAGATCTGCTTCATCTGAGAAAAAGCACTGCTCCCAAATGGGCTGACTTCACTAGCTAAAGCACAGTACCTTTCAAATACACATGAGAAGACTGTTACTCTGCTTTCACTGGATTGTAATTAAAGCTATTGTTCCTTTAAGAAAACCAATGTTTGCCAGGTGTGGTGGTGCATGCTTAAAATCCTAGCACTCTCCTAGGGAAGTTGAGACAGGAGGATCCCTGAGTTCAAGGCTAGCCTGGGATACATAAACTAATTCAAGGGCAGCCTGTACTACATGGGTGATGAGACCTTGCCTCATCACCCATTCAAAAAAAAAAGAAAACAGTTTTCTCTTCTGCATTAAGTAAAAATGTAAGGCATAAATTAAAATCCACCTTGGCCTTTGGTTGTTTTTAGTGCTGGGGAAAACAGTTTCAAGAGCTGTTACTTTACAAATAATGTAAAATGTAGATAACGTACTTAATTTCTCCATAATCTCTTCATCTGTCATCTTGGTCTTCTTTTTTTGTTTGTCTGTAGACTTGGCACCACCATCAATGTGAGAATCACCCACTGGTGCAGGGATGGGGTCAATTACAGAGCGTGTGTAAATCTGCAGAAATGCAGTGATTACTGAGGTCTGAGAAAAGCATTCTCAGAGTTGTTTCTTCCTGTCGGGTTTTCTGTCGTCCTGGCCTAGGCCAGGCTAGTGCTCCGCCACCCAGCTCCCTCCCAGGCCCTGCCACACAGCCTCCCTAGCACGCCACTCAGTTCTTCCACTTTTACCCAAAACTAAGTTCTCTCGCCCATGGTTTTAAAGAATGATAGTTTTAGGCTATAAAAAAAAGTAACTAAGAATAAATGTAAAACACTGCCTTTGGCACAGATGCCATTATTTTTAAAAAAAATCTTGTCTAGCAAAATAGCAGGCCCATGAATAAAATTTGTGACCATATCTAAAATAGCATGATAATAAAAGATAATAATGTAGCAAAATGTGCCCAACTTAAAAATGTTTTTGCTACAAGAGATAAAATGGAAAAGATAGAAACTTTGATGTTGAATTAACTCCTCCTAATTCTCACCAAAAGTTTTATACAAAATAAATTTCAGTTCAAACGGGAGAGTACAGAGCGAACAGCTACGCCACCCTCGAGAGCTCAGCCCCCCTCCTAACCCACAGTGCCTCCCAGCCTCGTCTCGTCTTAGCACAGGGACGAGGGCAGCACCGGGGCAGCCTCTCTTCTTAGAGGCCTCTGAGATCACTGCTGTTAAAATTCTCCCTTGGAATTTCACTCTCAACGGCCTCCAGATGACAGACATCAAAGCTTTGAGAGACATGTAAAATGAGAGACAAAACACTTAATACGGGAAAGATCTAAATTTTAAATTAGGAGAGCCAGAAAATTAGATGAACTCTAGAAATGAAGGCAAAATATAGAAAGAAAAAACTCAGTGACAGCAGCCCAGTGTGCCCGTCAAACACTTACTGATTTCGTGTGGTCGGGTCGTGGGGCAGTGACAGGAGGAGCAGCCTCTTCATCGTCGTCATCTTCCTCGGTCACCACTACTGACGTTTCTGAGCCCTTGGCATTCAGCTGCGTTCACCACAGGGCAAGGCGAGCAAGATGCACCAGTACAACCACAAGGTTAAAATACGACAATCTCTGTTTTTTTAAACATATCTTTAAAGGTTTCTTTCTTCAATAGCTCACTTAAAAATGATTAAAACTAACTGGTTCTAATATAATACTTAAAAAGTAAAAGTGATTTTATGAATTAGGGAAAAATAAGCTTATAAAATAAATGTATATGGTATATCAAACATTCTTGAGTACTATTTATGCCTTTAAATAAGCACACACATAGTGCTCCAAAAGCAATCATTTATTTGTTAAGATCAAAACCAAAGATCTTCTGAACTATGCATACCTCAAAGTGATCATGCAGCATTTGAAAGAGACAGATTCAAAAAAAAAGAAAAAAAAGGGGGCGAGCGTGGTGGCGCATGCCTGTAATCCCAGCACTCAGGAAGCTAAGGCAGGAGGATCACCAAGAATTCGAGGCCAGCCTGGGCTACATAGTGAGTTTAGGGCCAGCCTGAGCTGCACAGCAAAACCCTGTCTCAATTATTTTGTTTTTTTTTCCGGTACCGGGAATCGAACTCATGACCTTGCGCTTGTCAGGCAGGGGCTGTGCCGATGAGCTAAATCCCCAGCCCCTAAAACCCTGTCTCAAAAAGACAAAAAAAGAAAAAGGAACAGCCAGATTCATCAGAAACTCAAGCTCATGAAACAAGAGGGTTGGTTAGTTTCAATGAGGAGCTATTCCCCCAGGCTGCACTCAGTAGAACAGCACAGGACAGAGGGTTTGGGGCCCAGGTACAGGCAGGAACAGTTGCATACACAAACATTACCAGAAGTAGTTAACACGCTCCAGAGGTCACTGTAAATGTTAATCATTTTAAATAGCATATCAAGGAAATTCGGATTATGGCTACTTTAACTACTGAGAGGCTAGCTAAAAAAAAATAATTAAATATTCACCTCAGATGATTGAATTTAATCTTATAAAGCAAAATAAAAACTGAAATCTGCTTTGGGTAACCTACACTAGAACTAAAGCAACAAGAAATAAATTATTAACTTACCGCTTGCGTTCCTGAAGGGAAGCCATCTTTCTCTGAATATGAAACAGAAAAGAATGTTAATCCCGAAAGAAAACTTTATATAACAAAAGGAAACAAAAATGAAAGTAGAGCAAGCCAGTTTCTGTGGGGAGAAGGGCAGCACCAGGGGCTGGACCCAGATTCCTGGCGTGATGGGCAGGTGCTTCACATACATGAACCTGTACAAATTTTATGTCATTTTGACTTGAACAATCTCTTAAGTAAAATGATAATACCAGTATTTAAGTAGGAATCATACAAGTCCAAGTTAATGACTCTCAAATCTTATTGAAACCTCATAAATTTATTAAAAATTATGAAATTATATACTCATCATAGGTAAAACTGAGTAAATTATACCTCAATAAAGTTATTAAAACTTAATTGAAATTATATCTGTCAACTGCATTTATTAATTTTTTTTTTTTTTTCCAGTACCAGGAATCAAACTCACGACCTCAGGCTTGCCAGGCAGGCGCTGTGCTGCTGAGCTAAATTCCCAGCCAATTTATTAAAACATTTATTGTTCAAATTATTTTCTCAGTACCATATACAAGTTCAAACTTCCCATGATGAATGTGCTCATTATGTATACCTAAAATGTACCAATAAACTTAATTTTAAAAACAGGTATTTTCTCCAGAAAATTATCTACTAAGCTACCATTCAACAATAATAATTGTGCAAAGTAAAATTCTCATTTTGGTTGTTTTTTTGAGACAGTGTCTCATATGTTCCAAGCAGGCCTAAAATGTGCTATACACCCCCAGAGGCTGGCCTCAAACTCACCATCCTCCTGCCTCAGCTTCCTAGGTTCTCAGTTCATAGGCACGTGCCACTATGTCAGGCATAGCAAAACTTTTGGCCTAACTACTTTTATATTTCCATTTTCAAATGCTAGAGACTTTAGTATATTTATATTGGATGGAAAAAACCTACTATTTTTCTGGTCAAACTTTGCTTGTTTTAGAAACAATTACTAATTTACAAAAATTAGAATGTACCAGATTCAAGTAAAAGAGGTCAGGATCATTTGCAAAGAGGTCTCTATTTCTTCCTTTTTAATGCAAGGATGCAAATATAGTATATGTATAATTTTGGTTTAGTTTTTTTTTGGGGGGGGGCAGTGCTTGGCTGGTAGTAGTAGAGAATGAACCCAGGGCTTTTGCACTGAGCTACATCCCTATGCCTTCTTAAATTTTTTAAAATTTTAAGACAGAATCTCACTAGTTGGTAAATTGCTCAAACTAGCCTTGATCCTCTTGCCTCAGCCTTCCAGAGTGACTGAGATTACAGGCATGCATCACTCTACCCTGCTTAATCATATTTTTAAAAACTACATGTGTAACTTTAGCTACAAAGAAACATTAAATGAAACCCTGGGGATGTAACTAACACAATCCATACTAGGAAAAACAGACAAATATCTTGTTTAAAAAAAAAAAAAAAAAAAAAAACAGGAAAAAATATAAGAACCACCCAACAGGGGGGAGCCTAAATCTGAAAAGACATTCAAGATACTTCTCAACCAAATCTAAGTATGGACTTGATTCTAATGGTAATTTAAACAAAGTGGAGTTGGGTGCCCCAAATCCCAACGCTCTTGTAGTCTGCGGCAAGAAGATTACAAACCCAAACCCAGCCTGGGCTCAAATTTAGGAAGGCTCTGTCTCAAAATTTACAAAAAGGGCTGAAAATGTAGCTCAGTGCAAAGCCCCTGAGTTTACATCACTAGTACTGGGAGAGGGAGACCCAGAAAACAAAAAGAAATGAATTTTCATTTGGCTTTTTTTCTCCCTTCTTCTTTCCTTTGGCTTTTTATGATTCTGTCTCACTGTGTAGTTCAGGCTAGCCCCGAATTTGTTAAATTACCCACACTAAGTCAGGCATGGTGATGCAGGCCTGTAATCCCAACACCAGGGAAGGTGAGGTAGGAGGACTGTTGTTTGAGACAGCCTGCGCTACATAGCGAGTTCAAAGCCGACCTGAACTACATAGCGAGACCCTGCCTAAAAAAAACAGAACAGAACAAAACAGAACAATAAATAAATAAATAATAAATTATCCACACTAAGGCCTGAGTATGTGATCCTCTTGCTTCAGCCTCCCAGAGTGCTGGGATTACAAACATGTACCACCATATCTGGCTGTTTTTAAAAATCAACTCTAATTTAACAAAAATACCCCAAAACAATAAAATCAACTATATTCTAATTCTTACCTGATGATATTCCAATTCTGAAGTATAAATCTTTTTAGTTATGATGCTTAATTTCAATTTTAATAGAAAAACATTTTTAAGTCTATATATTTATATAGTAAAACAATTTTCCTTCCATCCCACTAACAATATATCTTTATCATGAACTTGTCCATAAATCTACATTTTTTCCTTCTATTGCTAGAAGGCATTTAAAAGCAGTGAGGAGGAAAAAACGAAAAAGTCAAAATACCCATAAACTCCATTTCTGGCAAATCTGAGGTTAATATAATCCCCAGACTCCAATTTATGGGTAAGATCCACCCTGCTCAGTTTTTCTTTTTTTTTGGCAGTACTGAGGGTTGAACCCAGGACCTTGCGCATGGGTTGTGGTAGAGTGGTAGAGTAGGCAAGTACTCTACCACTGAGCTCCATCCCTAGCCCCCTTATCAGTTCAAAAGCTGACTCTAGTTGAGTGTGGGGCACACAATAGTAATCCCAGCACTCTGGGAGGCTGAGAAGGGAGGACTGAGAGTCAGAGCCTCGCCTGGGCAAATGATCAGCTTAATGACTTAGCACCTCAAAATTAGTAATAATAATAGTAGTGGTAGTAGTAGTAGTAACGGCTGGGGGTTGCAGCTTAGTATCAAAGTTCTTGGTTCTACCCTTCACAATTCTGCATGTCATCCAGCCGTTCATCAGTATCTGATGTCTTACCAGGAGGAGTGAAACTCAGGTACTTCTGCTTCACGGTGTTGGAGTCATAGAACTTGAGGACATCCAGCACGGCCTGCGGGTTCTTTTTCTGCTCTAGCTTGGTGATGTTGGAGGTCTGCAGTAAGCGAGCCCACTGCTCCGGCATACCCTGACAAGAGAAAGCCGGACACAGTCACAGTTTGCATTGTTGTCATTTTCAGAGATAAATCACAAAATACATAAAACAAACCAATACAAACTATTTAAGGTTTGACTAAATTCTAACAGGTCTAGTTTTCTAAAATATTTTCCTATAACTGTTCTGTATAGTTGTAATTAATAGGTTCTGCTCTATTTTTTTTTTTTTTTGTCTTTTTGAGACAGGGTCTCACTATGCAGTTCAGGCTGGCCTTGAGCTCACTTTGTAGCCTAGGCTGGCCCCAAACTTTCAACGATCCTCCTGCCTCAGCCTCCCAGGTGCTACGATTACAGGCGTACACCACCACACCTGGCTGGCTCAGCTCTCTAGGAAAAACAAAACAAAACAAAACAAAATCCAGTCACTAAAACTTTTATGAAAAGCAAAGAGCAGTAACTGACAAGATATGGATAGAAAATGTCAAACTTCATACTGAAGAAAATGGCTTAGCAGTGTTTTAGTGCCACAAATAAACTCCAACCAAGAAAACTTACAGTAAACTCTCCAGTAACAGCATCAAACCCAACATGGATGGTGTGCTCAAAATCAGACGGAGGGGAAATCTCTGGCCGTTCTTTTTCTTTCTTTCTACTTCCTTGAGAGCATCAAGAAAAAACAATGAAGAATATTCAAAGTTAATATAGCCACTTTTAATCTTGTGTTTGTATTTTTCCTCAGAGTGGAAATAGTTATTGCAGAAAACAGGCTTCCTGTAAATACATGGGCTGAGAGAACAATGGTAGATGAAGGAAGTCGATCCTCCCATCCACAGAGGGGAGCAGTTTGCAACAGCCACGTGCTTCTTGCGCTAGCCAAGTTCTTCCTTTTTATTGCAGTTAATAACTGCTGCATTTAAAGACTATCCAAATTTTCTGTTCCCAAATGTCAACTTTTCAAAACATTCTGCCACACATCTACCAATAATATCCTCTGTCAATTCAACACATCACCTCCTCCCTCCTCCCCAAGGCCCCCTGGCTCTAATCTTCAGTTTACCGCCGAGAGGGTCTCTCTAGATGCTCTGCGGTCACAATGGCCTGTTGTCTTACCTTTATGCCAACACCGGTCCTTTAGAGCCTTCGTTACTATTGTTTTATAATAAACACTGAAAGTACAAAATGTTTTTCTTTTTTCAGAGCCATTCTGCATTTCCATATGAATTTTAGAATGATCTTGTTAATTTCTATAAAGAACCTATTAGAATTCTTATTAGAAGTGCACTGACTCGGTACCGGGCAAAAAAAAAAAAAGAAGTGCACTGAATCTACAGATCAATTTTTCTGTTTCTTACCACAGTCTTCTGATGCAGGCCAATAGCGGATCGCTCCATTACTTTGGTCTTTCAGAAACATGCTGTAGAAACTGTATAGCCAGCACAAGTCTGTCATTGCTTTTGACAGATTTCTGCCTCCATATTTCTAATTTTTGATGCTATCGCAAATGGTAGTTTTAAAACTTGAATTTCAGGTTGGTGATGGTGTAGACCTGTAATCCCTGCATGCTAGAAGGCTGAGGCAGGAAGATAAGTTCAAGCCAGCCTTTACAATTTAGTGAGACCCTGTCCAAAAGCAAGAGGGTAGACTAGGGATGTATCTTAAGACCCTGGGTCCAATCCTGAGTACAAAAACCAACATTTCAATTTCAGAGCTGGGGGATGTAGCTCAGTGGTAGAATGCTTGCCCAGCATGGATGAAGCCCTCGGTTCGTTCCCTAGTACTGAAAAACTACAACCAAAAAATCAAGTGTTTTCCTATGCCAGCAATAAGAGACTGAAATTACAGTGCTTTTTTTTCCCCCTCTCCCCGTCCTGGACTGAAGCCAGGACGTCACGCATGCTAGGTAAGTGTTCTACCACTGAGCTACATCCCTATTCCTTTTTATTTTGAGACAGAGTCTTGCTAAGTTGCCCAGGCTAGCCTTGAACTTGTGATCCTCCTACCTCAGCCTCTTGCATAGCTGGGATTACAGGCAAGTGCCAACACATTTGGTTGTAACTGATTCTTAAAATACTGACCTTTTATCCTGAAACCTTATTGTGCAGATGCTTCACAATTCTCAATAAAGCTCAAAAATGTTGCTGGTGAGTAAAGACATATTTACTTTTTCCTAATCTGGATTCTTTTTTGTTTTTTTCTTGATTTACTGCATTGGCTAGAACCTCTAGTACACTGTTGAGTAATAGTGGTAAGGGAATTTTTGAAAATTTTTTTACTGATCTAGGGGGTGAAAACAGTTCTTTTTTTAACCATTGTTTAATGTGAATTGTAGATGTTTCTGAGATGTCAGAAATAGATACTGGATTTTGTTGTAGAGCTGCTAAAATGAATATGTGGTTTATCCTTTTTATTTGTTCTTACAGAGAATTACAATCATTTTCAAATGTTAAAACCAACCTTGCACTTCTCATATGAAATCTACTTAGTCATAATGTATTACCCTGATCCACTGTTAGGTTCCAGTTGCTAAATCTGGTAAGATTTTCATAGCTATATTCATGAAGGGCTTTTGTCCATGAGAAGTCTGCTTTGTCTTCTTGTTTTGATTTTTGACGTACAGTCTTGCTGTGTAGCTCAGGCTGGCCTTGAACTCACTAGGTAGTCCAGGCTGACCTCGAACTCCTGGTAATCCTCCTGACTCAGCTTCTCGAGTGCTGGGATTACAGGCGTGCACCACCATGCCTGGTTCTGCTTTCTTGTCTTGTAGTATCTTTGGTTTAGGTGTCCAGGTAATGCTAGTTTCATAAGAGAAGTTGGAAATCATTACCTGCTCCTCAAATTTCTGGTGGTTTGTGTCTTTTAGGAAGCGTTTCCATTTTATTTAGGGTGTTGCATTTACTGGCCCACACCTGTTCATCGTGTTACCCTCCCTCTACCCAGGGTCTTGTGCGTGCGAAACGTGCACCCTATCACTGAGCGATGGATGGCCCAGCCCTACTTTCTCTATTTAGTACCTGCTCAATCTGTAGGGATGCAGAGTTCTCACTCAGCCTGGCAACCCCTGTCTTATTATTTTTCTCCCACCAGTTTAACATTTATCAATGTTATTGATACTAAACAAATCAGCTTTTGGTTTCATTATTTTTATTGCCCCCTTTCATTTCACTGATTTCCAGTCTCACTTATATTATTTCCTTCCTTCTACCTTGGATTTCATCTGAACTTCCCTTCTAGTTTATTAAGAGGTTTAGCTGAAGTCATTCATTTGAATTTTTTTTTTTTTTTTTTGGTTTTTCTCCGGTACCGGGAACCGAACTCACGACCTCGCGCTTGCCAGGCAGGCGCTTTTGCCGCTGAGCTAAATCCCCAGCCCCTGAATTTTTTCTTTTTTAATGTAAGTTCTCAGTACTATGAAACTTCCCCCAAAGTACTGCTTCAGCAGTGTCTTACAAACATTGATGTTTTAAATTTTCATTTTCATTTAGTTTTTTTAAATTCACTTTTCAACTATGTTCAGAGACCTTCCTGTTATGGATTTCTGCTTTTGTTTTTTGTCTTGTTGAGACAGGGTCTCACTATGCAGTTCAGGCTGGCCTTGAGCTCACTTTGTATCCCAGGGTGGCCTTGAGCTCGCAACGATCCTCCTGCCTCAGCCTCCGGAGTGCTGGGATTACAGGCATGTGCCACCATGCCTGGCATGTTACTGATTTCTAATTTAATTACACTATGGTCACAGAATACATTTTACATTTTTAAATCCTGTACTTACTGTGTTTTAAAAATTGTCCTAGAATATGATTTTTCTTGGTAAATGTTCCATGTGCAGTTAAAAAAAAATGTGTATTCTACTGTAACTGGGTGCAATGTTCTATAAATATCCACAAGATCAAACTGGTTCATAATTATGTTCAAATCATTTATCTCCTTAGCAATTTTCTATCTGGCCTCTAATTACTGAGAGAAGTATACTGGAATCTCCAATTACAACTAGATTTGTTGTCTACTTCTCCCTGAAATCTTGGCAGTTTTGTGTCATGAATTTTGAAGCTGTTTAGTACTGTTGTATCATCTTTTTTTTTTCTTCTGGTACCGGGGATCAAACTCACGACCTTGCGCTTGCCAGGCAGGCGCTGTGCCGCTGAGTTAAATCCCCAGCTCCCTGCTGTATCATCTCAATGAGTTAACTCTACTATTACAAAAGCATCTTCTTAACCTCTGATAATATTTTAATTCTAAAATTTAATTTTCTGATACTTATATAGACATTTTAAGCTTCTTTTTGTCGTATTTTTTCCCTCCTTTTCACAGTGCTGAGAATTGAACCCAGGACCACACACATGCTAGGCGAGAATGCTACCACTGAGGTACACTCCAGACCTAGATACATTTTATTTTAACCTACTTTGTGGCTTTATGTAAAACACTATAACTTTTTTACAAAAACTTCATGTAGAAAAATCCTTTACATAAAAGTATGGACTTCCTGTGGACAGCACACAGAGCTGCCATATAGCAAACTTCTCTGCCTTCTTTTGCGTCTTTTGTCATTCTGTTCACCTGCTTAAACTACAGCTCAGTGGGTGTCAGTGTATGTGGATTTGCAACTATCACCACAGTCCACTGAGAACTGCTTTAGCATTCCCAAGAAGAACCTGGTGTGTACATGAGCCCCCATCCTGCCCACTCCAAGCCCGAGGCAAGCACTAAGCTGCCTCCCATCTCCACAGAGATTTGCCTATGCTGGCTATTTATATAAATGGGACCATACAGTACATGGACTTCTGTGAACAGCTTCGCTTTTCATTTTTTAAAATTTATTTTTCAATTTTTGTGAGTCCATATGTGCCGTGCAGAATGAGTACACTCATGGTGGGGAGTTGGTACATGCACATAACACATCCCAACTTTTTTTACTTCTTTTTCCCCTATAGAGCAGCAATTTACTCAGACCAAAGTACCTCCCTGTGCCGCAGCCTGGAAACTCTCCAGGCAGACAGCTGATCAGTGGTAGGACTTACCTCATTTGTTTCCGCTCTCTTAGGAATCCGTTCACTGCCTGAGGTCCAAAGCCTTTAAAAGTACTCTTTCGTATTTTGGGAGAAGTATTTTCCCACTGCATTAATTCTTTCAGGTGGGAAGGTAAATCCAGTCCCTGCTGCTCACTGGCTTTCCTGAGTATTGTACGATTTCAGGATGCCTGCGATCATCATCATTCACTGTGCAGGGTTCTCAGTGAGCCCACTTAATCTAGAAACCATTTTTATGAGATCTGGAACTTTTTTTTCTGTTACTTAGAATAATTCCCTCACTCACTCATTATCAGTAGTTTTCTCTTATATTTTCCATCTGTGTATTGTTGCTCTCCCTGGGAGAATGTTCTTGATTATTTTCCAACCATCTTCCTATTGATATTTGTTTTGATAATCTTAAACATTGATTTCCTAAGAATTACTTCTCATTGTTCTCTGATCATTTTTTCTCTTTGACATCTTTTCTTTCAAAGATTCAATTTATCCTGTCTCTTTGAAGATTATACAGTAAATATGTGCATACTGACTGGCTTTTCTGGTTTGGTAGTTTTCTCCCTACACTGCCTGCTTCTAAATTTCTTTTTAAAATCTCCCATTAGGACTCTTATGTCTAAGCGTTTTCTTTCATG